GTTTCCACACCGGGGCGTGCTTTGATCCGCATCTCTTCTCTTCCTGACTGGGGCTCCGCGGCTCGGCCTGCCGAGGGGAAGGGTGCCTGTTCTCCGTGAGCGAAGACCCTGCGCTCACACCCCCTGTCCTAGGACAGGCAGCTGTCCTAGGACGAGTCGCCCAAAATGAAGGCTTTGCTTTTGCTATTGAAACATTACATTGTACGTTAACTGTAACAGAGAGGCAAATGTCTTAATTTTGTGTGTTTGAAACACTTTTTGCAGCTACTGTAAAACAGCACGTGGTAGGGAAGGGGTACTGTTTGATGTACTATTACAAATCTTTCTTGACAGATAACGGAGAACAAGTTTTGGTTGACGTGGAAGATAAAAGCAACAAGGAAATAACTGAGCACATTAAAAAAATCTTGGGGAAAAGCAAGTAAGTATCACTTAATAAGCTAATGTACAGTTTAGCATACATCTTAATACGATCCCTGCAAACTTTTGTCAGGTATACAAAAGGAAATGCCACTTTTCTCAGACAAAAATGACATAAGCTAGGTAAAGTCCACAAGCTAGCAACTGTAAATCCATCTTTCTGGTAAATGGGGTCCAGGGAAGGGAGAGGAAATGTTGCCATTCAGGCTTCTGATCATAACAAACAGATCTCTTTTCTAGAGAAACACTTGAAAAAGAGGAAAGAGAAAGGGAAAAACTATCACATCCAGCAACTTTTGGGCCCAAGAAGTATCATCTGCGAGAATGCATGTGTGAAATTGAAGGCCAAGTTCCCTGCCCTGCTTTTGTGCCGCTGCCCAAAGAGATGCGAGGAAAATATAAAGCTGCTATGAAAAATGAAGCATCAGCCTGACATCCCAAGTCATGCAGTTGTTTTTCCCCAGGGCTGGATGATCAAGGTGTTTCAGTGAGAGACAAGAGCCGACAGCTCCTGTAAATAGTTTATGTAACATATTTAACTTTGTCTCTTAAGTCTTCTTACAGCTACAACTAGAATAATTAAAGTGAAAAATAAAAGTTAAAAAAACCCAACTTTTTTGGTGCCAGTTTTACAAAGCATTACCGTCAACACTGCATAAACAGAAAACAGAACAAGGAAAACAGAATGACAAGAGCCCTATTTCCTACTCATGCCTGTATGTATAAGGTTATGGCTAAAGCAAGATCAGTTTATCTTAGAAGCAGCACAGAATTCCACAAGTTATAGAAAGTGGTGTAAAAACATTCCTGCCAATTTCCATGTTGTACCAACTCCAGGCTCAAACTACATGCTGAATTTGTTTAGTTACCACTCAGAAACTGTTAAAAGTCTCATTTACAAGATAAGACTTCTGCCGTTGGTACTGCAGCTCTGAGCAGCACTGATCAAGAATATCAGCAGTAAGTTGGTATTTGAAAGACAGGCTTTACAATTACATCTATTGTCCTTCAAAAAAAAAGGTAAAGCTACTCTTAAATTAAGACGATTTCCTAAACAAGTCGTCCTTTCAAAAGAAAAAGCCATACAAAGAACTGTGTCTAGATTTAGTAACTTCCAGTAAATTGTAGCCAGCAAGTCCATTATGATTCAAAGTCCAGTGCTGCTATGTCACTCCTCTTACCTTAGACACTCCTGGCTCCCTGCACATGCTCAAAAAACCCCACCTAAATCATCATAGCTTCTGCCTCACCAATTACACTGTACTGTAATAGTATATAAGCATATGATAGATTGTACTATATTGCTTGGAATTTGGTGATTGCACATATCTTTAAGTTTGGCTTATATATGTATGCCAAGTACTGTAGAAGTGTATTTCAGCATTTCTGAGTTAACGGTCAAGTACAAAATTTCACACCGATTCAGGCGTCCTGTAAAAATTGTCAAGGACAAACACAGCACAAAATAAACATGTTGTTTTATTTCACCTCTGTTTACAAAGTTTCCATATAGAGTAGTGCATGCAATTTTAACAAGAGTCAATGCTAGTTATTTATTGAGCTTTATGGTTAATGTGTCTTCGTTCCGTTGTGCCTCATGAGCCTCACAGCAGTCCAAATACCAGCATAAGGTCTTCACTTTGGAGATGACTTTAATATCAGATGTCTAGTCTATCACATTTAACACTGACGAAGATTGTGAGGTATGCTAGTCTAATATGCGTGTAAAAATGCATTATTACACGTACAATAAGGATACTTTTAATTATTAGTGCATTAGAGTGAAAATACAAACAAGGCAGGAGAGTTGCAACAAGGAAAAGAAAAAACAAACTTTTTTAATGTGTAAGCTGAAGCCACTGAAACATTTTTTTCATGTTGATACCAAAAAAAAGCTTTGGGTTACACTACAGGGAGCAATCCTCTTGACTAGCAAACAAGTCTGTCTTAAATAACGATCTTACACTATTTCTGTTATAACAATTCCAGGGATTATGTTTAGCTATCTTAACTTTTTTTTTTTGGCTGCCTTTGTAAATCTGGTGCCACAATGCACATCTTTTGTTAGTTTACAATCTTTCAGAATCCTCTGTTCTTTATTTCACTTGGCACAAAATAACACCCACAGATTCAATCAACTCTAACCAAACATCTCAGTATAAAAACTTCATGGTCTTAAGACAACATGTTCTGCATACCTTTCAACTTCACATTTAGGCTACAGTAAGGAGGATATCAGCTATCCTTAACTGGCTGCTTGAAGTTATTTTGACCAGTTACTAGCGCTATTAAGTGAGGATATAGGTGGTTTGGTGTTTTTAAACAACTGTTCCACAACTCCCTACCTCCACTTATTTAAAGCAAAACAAAACGAGAGTTCCTGCTCCTTAGATAGTGTAATTATTTGTGTCTCTAAAATATTATGCACTGCTTGGGTTACAGCTATGCTAATAGATATTATCAGAGACATAGTTAAAAGGCATGTCCCATTCCATAGAAGTTTACACTTCTGCATAAGCCCACTATTGTTAGTGCTACACAACGTGATCTGCCTGATCTTCCTCTATGTCAGCTTTAAATAAATACACCCTTTAGACTAACTTCTCCCCATCACCCTTTAAAACACTGATGCCTGATAATGGAGCTCTGCCTTTCAGAGATAAAAATCAAAGCAGCTCAGGCTCTGTCTTTTCAAAAGATAAAGGCTGACCTAACCCTGAAGTGATCCTACATTTCCAATACCAATCTTCAGAAGCCCAGCTCTAAGCCCTTCTACATCACAGGTGCTGGCTGTCACCAAGTCACCCCTGGACCACAGGATCACAACATGACTCCAATTTGGAGCTTCTTATTTAAGACAGACATGCCCGATTCTCGTAACAACTTCTGAGGGGAATCAAATATGAAACAGAATTGCTGTTTGGCACTATCACCGCCACAGACTTCATCTCCCAGCTTTCAGAGAATTCCAGTTCAGTGGCACTTCAGCTCTCAATTGTAAGCAAGATTTTTATTTCTTGAATGCTACAAATAGAGGGTTCCAGTCTCACAAATAACGACAAACATGATCATTCTGTCACCCAAAGAATTTAAAGGAATGTGTACATTCCATAAGATAATTAGGAATTGGAGGGTCACCCTTTACATTACAGTTTGAAATGGTGCTAGCCTGATGCTCTTTTCCCTGGAAATTATTAGATACTTGTTCCCTCACAAGCAGGTGTCTGAAGCCAGCATAGTGCTCTCTATTACACTGTAGTGTGTGCTCAGAGCAAATGTGAAACTAAAAGTGATGAAAAAACAGCATCCAAATTTTACTTGGGAATTTTTATAAACACATTAAAAACTTACTCATATTAAGACCAGTTATAAAGTTCTTAGTCTTTGCACAAAATTGACCTGCAAGCCTGTATATTCCACACCTCAAAGAATCACAGTAGCCTTTTAAGAGCACTTTCTCATAACACCATTAGGAAATTAAGCTAGCCTGTAACACTACACTGTGTCATTATCAGAGGATGCAGAAGTTTTAGAAGTTTTCATGTCTCTTTAGTCAAAGGCCCACTTGAAAGGCCAATACTGCAAAAGAAAGGGGGAAAGACAACAAACCAACATTGCAGCCATTTCCAAATCATAGTTCCCTATTAGCACTTAAACACTTTGACCAAAATAAGCACACAATAAGACCAGTTAGCATTAAAACAGCATTGTAACAAGTAATTTTAAAATTTCTTAGTATGCTGCTGGTCTCAAGCGCTTATACCTCAATAATTCTTTCTTCAAGACTGAATAGTAGTGGAAATGCCTAATTGAAAGTGCATGAAAGTTCTTAGTATAAGCGCTTGAGACCAGCAGCATACCTCAATAATTCTTTCTTCAAGACTGAATAGTAGTGGAAATGCCTAATTGAAAGTGCATGAAAGTCAAGACTCTCCCAATTCCCTCTTGTGATCTGTACTCCTGTTTATTAAGTAACTGCTCTAACCTTCCTGTATTTAACAGCAGACTTAAAATAATTATTACACAGCCCTGTTGCTGCTTCAGCAGTTGGATTTCTCCTTCTGCTTTGCTAACGTGCGCTTCAATTCCTTTAAGTTCTCTGTCAGTACCTCCACCTCATCCATTCGTCCACTATGTTTGGCATCAAATATATAAGCTTTGATATTATCTATCTGTTGCAGAAGCAGCTCTTCCTCTATAGCCTCCTCTCCAGAGATCTCATTGCCATCCTCCACTTCAAAGGGATTGGTAGAGGATCCCTGTTCAAATGGGTTCCCAGAATTCCAACTACCCCCAGGCTTTTGAAATTGATTTTCATCCTCTTCAAAAGGGTTTGAAGTACTGCCAGCTGCTCCATTAGTCTGTTCATCCTCCTCATCATTTTCAAATGGATTATATTCTTTTTTATCAATTTCTTTCTCTAGCACAGCTCTGCAAGCCATTGGAGAAGTGTCTTTGGCAAATGGGTTAGCAGGATCTTCCTCTAACTGAGGGGTATCTGCTTCATCTTCAAAGGGGTTTAGAGAGGCTGTCTGATCTTGGTCTTTGTCACACCGTGGGACATTCTGGGCTTTGAGTGTGAAGATCAAGTGCTCTTTAGCTGGCAGCTGCTCAACAGCAGGAGTTTCAGACCTTGAGTCCCCTTTGATCTGTGTAATATCCAAATCCAATGCATGTGCTATCAAGTTCTGATTCTCTTTTGCAACTTCATGCTGATCCTGCTTGACTTCTCTGAAGTCTAAGGAGCATGTCCTGGAATGCTGAGACATGAATTTGTGGTGTTCTCTTTCCCACTCTTTTTCACGAAGGACCTGAAGTTCCTCCCTCTGCATCTCTTCCTCTTCTGCCTGTTTTTTAGAAAGCTCAATAGCTTTCAGAGTTTGTTGTTGATCATATTCATCCTGAAGCTGCCTCAGATTCTCTTGCAACATATGGACCTCGTCTATCCTATTAGCTGCCTTTGCTTGCTTAATAAAGGATGTGATATTGTCAATCTGCTGAAGAAGTGGGTCTGCTACCTCACTCTCTCTCAATATGCTAGATGTAGGTAACCAGCCTTCAGATTTCCTGACTGTTCCTTTTTTCAGGTGAGTTGCATCACCATTAACTGTGGCTGCAGATCTGGAGAGAAAATCTTTTTGCTTTTCCTCTTGTTTTCCATGTGATTCGAGAGCCACCTAAAACGAAAATCATGTAGTAAGAGAACACCACAAACTTGAAATATTCCATTCTAAATATCCATAGGTACAAGTTAGCTGATCTTAGACATTGCTGGCTGTTATTGGAAGGGATCACCTGCATTTTTGGTTAGTTCGCAGAAAATGCTTATTTTCATAATATCACCCAAATGCTTCCCTTCAGTTTGTGATGATATTGATCAAAATCCCATGACATCTGCCTCTACAACCTTGATGGCAAGTAGGAGCAGTGACAGTGCTTTATGTAGAGGAAAAAAATGCCTAATGGAACTGTGCAACAAGTGATCCAGATTGATTTGGACAGCAACCATATCACATCTTGACTACAGTAGACATCTGTAATAGAACATGAGTGTTAAAGGTCACTGCTATCATTAGCTATCAGTGCAACAATTCTTACTTCTCAACTTCTACGGCAAGATAAAGCTGGTTTAGTTTACAATTAATGATGTCCTCCCTCCTAACTGAAAAAAAACTCCCTCTCTGAAGAGGCATTCTTATTCTAATATGTCCTTTTTCACCACCAAAAGAAGTCTCCAAATTCTACTCGTGCAAATGAACTCCAGAAGACAATCTGAAAATCCATGTAAACTAACATACTTAGTTTAGGGCTTGCTCTGCACCCACTGTAGCAGAAACAGCACGTGCAACCAAGTCACTGCTGCTTTCTAGAAGTGTTTCAGCTGCTCAGTACACACCTACTCACATTCTCGATAGAATACAATGATGGTGTTACATGAATTCCTGAAAAAGGGATGGAATGATCTGCATAAAAAAAAAAGCAAACTGAAACCCAATGTTAAAGGCAACTATTCATACACACACAGCTACTAGGCTTAAGCCCTTGAAGGAGGCCCTGATACAAGATGTGACAGATCTTAACCTGTCTTACCACATGCAGTCTTCTCTTCTTCAGTTCTTCATACTGATCTTTGGTTGGCAGGGACATTAGGCCAAGCAATTTTTCCTGGCAAAAATTGAAATATTTACAGTGTTGTTTGCAGGTATTCAGCCAATTTTCAAGTACTTGAAAAGACAGATACCACCAACAGAACACCCCACAAACAAATAAAAAGTACTTCTACACTGCAGTCACTGCTGCAAGTCTGAGCATGTCTTTGCTGCACTGCTACTGCAACTACACTGCTAACTAGGTTCACACCTCAGCAAAAGGCAAAGCCGACATTCACACATTCTCTTAGGTCCCCAAACTCAATGCTGCTCTGACTATACTATCTGTATTCAAGCTAGCTCATTGAAGGCTACCATAAGTCATTAGGAGAACTACAGAAAATGTACAGAACTAAACCTCCTGTCAAAATAGTTTCAAATGAGGATGCCTGGCAAAGAAGAGAACACTATATAAAATTTACGTTCAGCTCATAACATATGGTCCATTTACCTGAACAAAAAGTGTAGCTGAATATCTTATCATTCTCTGAAGTTGTAGTGTTTTAGGATGAGGTTGGGGATCTTCATGCAAGCCTAGACTCAAAATCTTCTTACTGAATCAAAGCAAACATACAGCCTTATCAGTTCAAAAACACGGGCCAGCAAAAATGCAACAGAAGGGGACAGGGAAACAATATTGGATGAAAATTTTCTGATGTTCTTTTAGGTAAACCATTTTGGATATTACAAGTTGTAACACTTTTCACGTCAACCTTTTTTTTAAAAAAAACAAAACAAAAAAAACACACCAAAAAACCCAAGAAACCCAACAACAACAAAAAAACAAACAAAAAAAACCAAACCACCACAAAACAAACTTCTGTATAGCGGGTGCCTCCCCCCCCCCCAAAAAAAACCACCAACCAACTATGCCACTATTTGTTTCCTCTGTGCTTAGTTATTTTCACTGCAGAGGAATGCACGATTTTTAAGGCTGGAAAAGGAAGCAGAAATTGATGGTGCACAGGAACAGCACGTACCTTTTCACACTCTCTTTACAACTGAGCAGACAAATTGCTATCCATATGAATAAGCAGGCATATGCTACACAAACATAGACACCAACAGTTGAAAAAAAACTACAGAAAAGTCGTAACAGAGGGAGATACGCACATGCTGGGGCAGAGGGGGAAGAGAGAGATCTTTTACCTTAAGGCATCTATAAATTCATATACTTTTTGAATCTCCACCCTCAAGTCATTAGCGTGTTCAAGATTGTAGGTTGTCTCCCCAGCACTAAGAAATAAATACAAGTTTACTGTAAGTCATGCATCCAGCTAACAATACATACAACACTAGACATAATCCCAAGATGACTAAGATTCAACAATGCTAATGCTTTAGCTAATGCTAAAGGGATTGAATTATTTTATTTCAAGCTCTTTGTGTTTAAAACACCTTCCTTTGTGACACAAGTGGAAAATGACAATCATCTTGTGAACATGAACATTTCATACAAGAACATTTTATTTATTATTATTATTTACTATTCTAAGAGAAATTATATTTTAACACAAGAATGCCACTCTACCAATAATATGTTTTTTTCCAGGCAACTGGGTGCAGAAAAAACACTGACCGATTGAATAAGTAACTATACCATTAAATTAAAACACTTATCTCCAGTAACACTTGTCAGAAAGCAAAAGCCTACAGCCCCACATGGATATATTTAAGATGCTAGTAACCAACTGTCCACGTGGGGACACAATCAATTATATGCACTTTACTACAATCTCACATTTATTGATAAAACAAGTAAGGATTTAACACGGAAGACTCTTCGCCAGTTTTTAGCTTCCCTCTCCTTTTGTGTCACAAATATAAGGATTGCTCTCTCAAGAGCAACTTCACTATCCATATGACGCTACTTTCTGGGACCCACTACTAGTCAGAAATCTTTAATTTCATCAGTAAGAAGTCTGTTGTTTTCTGACATGTGCTTCCATTATCCAGCACATTCATATTTTTACTTTTCTCTAGTTGTCAAGCCACAAAACACCAACTCTCATGAAGTCATGACAAAAAGCAGTAACAGCTTAGCGTGTTTTTCACCTTCTATACTTCTTTCTTCCTTTTGGGAGGTCTATTTTTACAAAAAGTTTTGTTACAATGAATGACAGCCTAATTTTTCTACAACCATCAGATCTAAAGGACAGGTACAGAAATATTTAACTTTAACTTCCCAAATAGACATGCTTCAGAGTCTAAGACCAATGTGTGTATTTCCCTACTATACAAACCAGAAGCACAATTTGACAATCTCTTGCAGATATAGCTGGAGAGATTTAAGTTACCCCAGTGAGAGGATACCACCACAAAAAATTATGTACAAAAGTGTGATATGTGAATGCTGCTTATGCACTGCAACACAGGGCAGGCCAGCTAGATTTAGAACAACTGTCAGGTGAAGGTGGCTTGCTTTACACAAGAACAGATGAGGAGCATTCAAACGATCCTTTGCTGCTGGCACTACTTGGAAGCCACATCATCCAGCTGAGGGCAGTAATATCCTACTTCAGCTGTTTTGAAAAGGGTCATTTACACAACAAGAATTGTAGCCGTGCACTTCCTTTTTGCAAAGATGACATGTCAAAGTATGACAGTGGTGCCTCACTGGGATGTGGCTTTAAAAAAAACCAAAAAAACCCATGCCAAAACCCCCAGACTTCTCTGTATGCAACATTACAATTAATTCAGTACTACTTCATTTGAAGAGCATCCAAAAGACAACAGATAGAAATCTAACATTGCATTTTGTTATAATTGACACACTCTTGCAGCCTTAGCATGCCACCTCCTTACTCCTTCCCACACTTTTGGGGAGGAAAAATACATATATTCATAAACAAAACCAGTGAATGGGGCTTACTTTAGTGATTCTGCCATCCTTATGTATTCTGGCGCCTTCTGGTCAACCTTCTCCATGCAGAGTCGGAGTTTCTTGTTTAAAACAAAATGTATAAAGAAAGAACTTAAAATAAAACAGGAATGCAAGAACATGCTGATGTAAACCTTTCAGGCTGCCCGTGCACATTCAAAGTTAACTGTGATGAAAGCCATTTAACTATTCAGGATGACAAGACCCTCCAGTTACCTTCAGAACACAGACGGCATGGTCAGGAACAGAGAAAGACTCCCTGTACCCCTGCAAGATGAATTTTGAATTCAGAAGCTATTTTAATGGATGACTTGGACAACTTCTAGCATTAAATCTCCTCACCAAGAACACCAACAGAAACTCCCATTACTACTAACCTGGGGGGTCTGCAGACTCCACTGAAAGGATACCTGATGATTGTCAGTACCTGCTTTCAAAGCATATTTGAACAAAACCCTCCAGCCATATGCTGTTGATGGATATAGACTGTTCAAAAAAGCATTTGCCATCAGTGTCAGGACAAACAGTGCTGACAACATCTAGTCTTATAGTTCCAGTGCAGTCCATCAACAAAGTGCACAGCCTATCACTGGTTTAAACAGCAACAGTTCTGAGGAATCACAGCTGATATAGTTCACAATTTTAAGAGAGGCATCTCAAAACTATTAGTTCCAGATCATGAGAATGAAGATGTATCTTAAAATTATGTTTGAAATTATCGTGGGATATAAATACTATATGGCAACTGGCTCCATCATTTCAGATACATCTTTGTTACGTGGTGTAAACACCCAGTAGAGTCTATTCTAACACAAGTGAGTATTAAGTCATAAAGTAAGAGCTTGGACACAAGATAACAAGCCAAAAGTCAAGTAGTGACAACTGCAGATATATACACTGAGGACGAAAGCAGCAAAGAGTTTGATTTACCTCGTAGAGTTTCACGATCTCTGGAGTGTATTCTTTCTCATCAATCTGTTGTTCTCTTTTCAACAGGGTATCTTTGCAGTGCCGACAACAACGGATTCGGTCATCATCCTTCTCATCCAGAACTGAGCTCACACTGCTTATGCTGCTAATGCTGCCACGGCGGGAGCCATGGACGCTATTAGGTGAGGAGTTCGGGCTAGTATGAGAACCCAAGGCCTCTTTGCTGGCACTAGTGAGTTTGCCTAAAAATTATATACAGGTAATTTTACAGTAACTGGAGAAGCCAATAGATTTTTATTAACACAAATGAATTGCACTTTAACAGAAACTTTACATTCAGGTAATATTAGAAAACCAAGCTGAAACAGTCTGCTGGAAGACATGCAAGGAACCCGTGACAACAACCAAGACTGCAAGTAGAATGTGGGTCTTCGCTGTAAATACGGCTCCATTCTAAAAGCAGCTAGAGAGCAGACTGCTGAGAACCACCCACTTTGCTTATGCCTAGAAGCATTCTCATGTTGGAGCTTGCACAGTTATAACATAGTATGTGGAAGAACAGGTACATTAACGCTGTCCATGTTTTGTGCTTGAACACTCCAAAAAGCACAGAAAGTTAACGTCATTTATTTCCACAGAAAATTTGGTCTCCTCTCCAATGCACTAGCATGAGGAGATTAGGTTCGAAGGGTTTCTTAAAGGCTTGTGGATTAATTTCCTTAATGTCAGCATTTGGACAACTATGGGCAAGACTGGAAATAGCCACAATAGTTTTTAATGTCAAGAACCTTGGCAGTTGTAATTCCTAAAGTTAATACCTTCATAGTTATGGTACTCGGTAGAATAAGTCACTAAGTATTAGTTATATTTACTAGTATGTTTAGTAGCAGTATATACTACTACTACTACTTCTAGTAACTCTTTCAGTGTTATGTAACACTTCCAAATCTGAAGAAGGAATGGAGACAAAGAACAGAGAAAGCATTCTTATTCTGTTTCACAGACAAATGTCTGCATTAAACTGAATAACATACTAAGGACCAAGTTTTCCGCACAGGCAGAATATTACCAGCAGCTTTTTTTCTAATGGCAAAAAGCCAGGATGCAGTTAGCACCCTGAGCAAGCTAAGGAAAGGAGGAGTTAACACCACACACTGTACTTACTTGCCAGAAGAAGACTGACAAGTTCCATGCACTTCTTGCACATAATAGACCCACAAAGGCGGCAGTGGTGACGTCGGTTTCGAATACTGAACTTATTTCCACAGTCTGGGCAGAATGGAACATCCTGATCACTGACCCAAGGCACAACAGACTTCTCTATAGCTGTGATCAGGCAAAAGGGGAAGAAATAGACACAATGTAAGATACTCATTCAACTAATTCCTCAGCTGGTTAAACTAGGGGGGGCAAATAGCCTGAGGTAAGCTCATACCAACCTCTTATTTTAGCTGACTCAGTGTTTGCTCTGTCAAACGATGTAAGCTAGTAGAAGATAAACAATCTATTCATGAAAAATGTACTTTTGCAAGAAAAAAAACAGAACACAACCCAGCCCAACAGGAAAAAGAAATCTAGCATTTTTAAGAGATAGGAGCCTCAGCCTGTTTTACACCATATTCCTGCAACTTTCCTATTTATTTCTAATGCCATGTTCATACAAATCATGCTAAACAATGACTGCCAAACCTGTACAAATCACAGCATTTTGGACATAAACCTTACAGCATCCAACATTACTGCATCTGAGCCAAAATGTACGTATATCATTGGCAGATTTTTAAGAATGAGAAGCTGGAAAAATTATGACAAGAGACAAATTTAGTGAAGTAAAAGATGGAACAAATATACAGGAAAACATATGGTTCTAGAAGCATGTGGAAGTAGCATCTTCAGCTTGAACACAGTGCATAGAAACAGAACCAGACCAAGCACAGTACTCAAGGATTAAAAAAGGAACATAGTAATGTGTGAAGAGTTGTAATTTAGTATCCTCTATGAAGTGCACTCCTAGATAAACGGGCACACCTCATACTAAAATATGATTTTTTTTAATCGAGGAAACATTCAGAAGGCTGGAATATTAAAAAGCAGCAAATTTACCTTTTCTAATCTGATTATTAGCTTATTGACTTCAACTACATAGTGATCAATCCTGGCTGCTCGGTGTTTCTTGAAAGCAGAAAGATGGCTTCTCATGGCACCTGGAGAGATAGCAGAAAGTTTTCATAGTCACCCAGGTGTTCTGTATGGATTTAAATGGATGTAAATGCCTCTTGAAAGACAGCTATCTCTTCTTTTCACCATTTATTTCTCATGTTCAAATCGAACTTTAAAGACACATTAAAATCCTTCATTTTCATGGTGCTGCTCTAAATAAAGCATGCAGGTTAAAGCCTAATCTCCAGGCTAGCAATACACAGTGTTTTATTTCTACTACAGGAAATAACAGGCACTATGTTAACGAGAACATCTGCAACAATTTTTTTCCCCCCTCTTCATCCCTCAGTTACATTTGGCAAGCTATTATCAACTAGTAGTATTCTCAAAACTAACTCCCTTTAGTTTCCTGGCTACATGCTGAACATAGGGAAGACGCTGGTCCAATAATTATTGGATGTCTATGCAACAGCGATTTCTCTTTCAGACTTCTGATCACCCTTCCACCTTTAGGGGTCTGAATCAAATCCTTGATGACAGTTCAGATTTACAGAAAACTGGTCAAGTATACAAAAGAATAATATACCATCCATTTAAGAAATGTACAATTCATACTCCACAATGTTGGTTTCAAGTTTAAGTTTTGATCCTTTTCCAAGTAAGGTGAGCCAGGTATTAAAAATCAAAGTTACAGACCAAATGAAAAAAATAATCTTTCTTCTGACTGGTAGAACACAAAATCACATGTTGCTTTTTGATACTACCTGTAAGTAGTAAGTGCACAAAGTGTAAGAATCTCACTTCCTCGTGCTAATGAAATAACCAAAAAATCTCCAAAGCTGAATTCATAGGAATGAAAGGGCCCCTCTGGGTAACTGAATTCAGACACTGCTTTGAAGACATCACACAGTTGCCTTTCACAAGTGCACCAAATCCCATCCTAAAATCCATAAGGTTCATCTTCTGCACTCTGATCAGAAAACAGTTCTCACTTCTCTAATGTTCAGAAACCTTCTGCTACTTCACTGCCTAGATTTATTCTTAGCTAATATTTATACTATGACTGCTGCTGAAATAGTTACAAAGTCAAAAGTGTAACAATCTACAGAACTCAGACTCTGCAGACCCAAAGGCTTAAGTCCCAGCCTGTCAGCAGCACAGGGGAAACTTTCCCAGGATCCATCAGAGACAGTGCTGCTTCCTCCCCCTGAAAATAACCATAACATTTCAGTAATAGCAAGAGACAATTTCCAGTAGCAGTATTTGTAATTACAGGCTCAGTCAACTTATCCTTGAAATTCTACAAATGTA